TGTATGATTGAATGAAATAGAAATTACTTCATTAGGAAATAGAAATTATTTTATACTTGTTGGGGCAATATCGCTCTTGACGAGAATCTCATGGAGTTAGATATTGTTCCCGAGGAAATAAAAACGATAGGTTTTGCCGGACTTCCGACGGAACAATAAACTTATATATTTAAACGAAAAAAGAACTGTACATTTGTCAAAAGTATTAAATTTAAATCGTACAATACACACACAAATCAAAAAATGTCTTTTAATTTAACTAAGTAACTTATTAAAAAACAAAAATAGAAGTCTCCGAAGCAGTACGTGTCACTGTTCGTCTAAGTAATCGCGAGGATATCTCAAAAGCGAAAAAGCGAAATATCGTTTAGTTTGCCGAAGTTGGTAATTACAATTCGGAACGACGAGTGTCAGTTAATCGTCGCGGAACCAAGACATATATCGTTGGAGGCTACCTCCGCCCCCCCGCGTCACCCTCGCCAAGATGCTCAGCATTCGCGCGAGCGAGTCAGAACGCTCGTTTCAAAACATTTTAACCGTTGTTCGAACAATACTTTTTAGTGCATTTCGAAGTCGGTGTACTTTTTTTCTGAAAATTATTTTATATTGCATTTGTTCCAGATTATCTGAACTTCCCGATCCCACCAATACGCATGCGAAGGTTTTTTCTTTTTTCCCGTTCTTTTTTGCAGATATCTATCGCATATTTTACCTAGCATATTACAGATTTTATTTTCCAAAGTGTCCCAACCTACATTCTCTGCGTCCAAACTTCTAATCACCCTACAAGCTATCTCTATATCGGTAGTACTGTTGAGGCTTTCGGGTGTAAGCCGTGTCCTAAAGGAAACGAGTTCCCAACGTTTCGCCAACGTTTCGCCAGCATTGCAGCTAGCTTCATCAGAGGATACACTGATACTAGTGCGACTGGTGTTATGTCGCCCCTTATATTGTGATGCGATGCTCACGTTCCAAATCCTTGACTGTTCCGGTTGATGCAATGCTCACGTTCCGGATCGTTGACTGTTCCGGTTGATGCGATGCTCACGTTCCGGATCGTTGACTGTTCCGGTTGATTGTGTCCAATCAGAAAGTGGGTCTTTTTGATTGTGCGCACAATTGAAATCCCCTGGGGGAGGGCGCGGGGTTATGCAGGATTCTTACCGGCCAAAACCCCCACGGTGGTCCTCCATAGCGCGCTGGGGAGCCCCAGGAACTCTCAAAGAACACAACTGGGACTGGGGAGTATGGGGTAGGGAGTATGGGGGCGCTATGGGGTAGCGCCCGTGCTCTAAATGCCCTTCACGGGGGAGGCACCAGACCTCCCCCTTCCTCCAGGCCGGTTTTCACGGCGACACCCGGACCACCGAGG